AGTGTTAGTTGGAGCTTACTATAATATCTTTGCTTATTATCATCTTTCTTGAGAATTATGCAGCGAGCCAGTCTGGTCTCCGGGTTGTCCGCCCAACATGTGCTTGCGGTATCTTGGAAGTTGGCCCCGGTCGAAGCGGGTAACTTTGCCAGCCTCGAAACTACCCCGGGCCCCGGGCCCGGGGTACCGCTGTCAGAGCAGTAATTCGACTTCTGCTGCCTGCATCCTCTTGCCAATTGGCATGCATTGCGAGTGCCAAGCAGCAGTAGACAACTCTCAAGAAAGATAATAGTAAGCCAAGATATTAGTAAGCTCCGACTAACACTAAAAACCCTAACATAATTGAAACACCCGCTCCGCACCCGTACCCACCCTAACCACCATACTAACCCTACCCGTCACAGTACGGTTACCTTACTATTATCTGGGCTTACTACTATTTTTCTTGAGTTTCATCAGCAGTAGCCAGTTTGTTACGGGGTCAATCATGTGTCAATCATACCGATCGACCGTACTTCGCGAAATCCGGCGGCTACACATGACGGAATCATGCAGGGCCCAGCGGATGCGCCTAGCACCCGGGTCCCGGACTCCCGGTCCCCCGGGGTACCACCACGGCAAGTACTGTATGTCGTAATCTTTTTCCGGTTTCAAGCGTTACGTTTCGAACTTTCGACTCTGCGTCCTTCCGATTCTTGACGCCTCGATGAGTTGACGAGTCTAGCGTACACGGTACGATTCGTGGTCGGGCGTTGCCAAGCGACTACCCCGGGAGGACTTACCGCCCGATTCTGCTCGGATGTCGCCCGTACTTACGTAGTAGTCTGTACCGTACGAGACCCTATACCGGCTCACCTTATTTTTCAAGCGCTTATCTGCAATGCTGGGACCAAATATGGACCATTTGAGACGCGGTTTTCTGCACATATCCTATCTTATTGAACCCCATCGAGGGCAGAAGTCGGAATTTCATTTGGCCCCGAGGAGGTCCTTGCAGCCCTGAAAACCTTCGATTTTGGCCAAAAAGAGCAAGAAAACTTGACGGATCGGCGATCGCCGTAGACTGGAACAAGATAACAAATAAACCGAGCCACTTCTAGCTCAGCCCGATCCACTTCTGGACCCAATTCGGTTCTGGGGCTCGTACGGTAGGTGTTCTGTAGGTGTTCGGAGGCGCCCTCGAACCGGCCCGGGAAGAGCAGCCCGGGACTCGACATCGGTGCAGCAAGTATGGACTCGCGGCATCCGGACTTGACCGTAACGTCCGAGTCGGAGGCTCAAGAGTCGAACAGTCTGAGTACCGTAGTGACTTGGGAATTCATCTTTTAATAATAATTTTGGCTCAAGACGAAAATTCAGAAACTAAATTGGACCCTGAGGGAGAAAAGGAGAAACAACAAAATTATTGGAAATCAGCCCAGATTGCTGTCAAACAAGGCAAACAAACCAAAATCTCAAATTTGGAGAAATGTAAAATAATATCTCTTATCGCAGGACGAAACCTGAAAACTTTCGAAAATAATTATTCGCGGCGCTTGGGGGTGAATTCCCAAGTCACTACGGTATTGTCTGACACATAGGTAGGTCCGAGGCCGGTAGATCCGAGGTACGGTATTGAATTTCTGAACCCGAGATCTGCAATGCAGATCAGCATGCTGTGCACTCTGGGCACAGGCAGCACTTGGCACTGATAGCACTGGCAGTCTGGCAGCATGGCTTTCGGCAAGAGTCGGGGCCAGCACAGACATGGTTTTCTGTTTTTGCCTGATACTTTCCTTGGACCGCCAAGGACAAGTAGCTAGGTACTGGGAGGGAGACAAGCTGCGTTGTTCTCACAGAAAATTCTGGCTCTGTATCTTCAGAAGACGAAGTACAGGGGCTGCGCGGCGGGCTTGCAAGCTCTTTTGTGGGAGACCACTGCTTTTAAGGAGAAACCATGGCGGGTAGCTCCAGCTGCTCAATGCATTTGGCTCTGTGGGCTACGCTGCTCTTTAGCGTGCTCTTAGGCTGGGGGGGCGCGGCGGCTTTCAACGTTACTTACCTCCAGGGATGCGATGTTTCCAACAACCTGACCCAGCTGTGGCTGAATGGCACAGGCCTCAGGGGGCCAATCCCCCCCGAGATTGGCAAGTGTACGGCGCTGCAAGTTCTCAGCCTGAGCAATAATTCAAGGGTGAATGGGTCCATTCCGCCGGAGATTGGGCAACTGACAAATCTTAGGACCCTGGACTTGGGGAGCACCGGCCTCAGTGGGCCTATACCCTCAGAGATTGGCAACTGCACAGCGCTGCAAGTTTTGACCCTGCGGAGCGCCTATAAGGTGAATGGCTCCATTCCCGGGCAGATTGGGCAATTGACCAACCTCACTACCCTCGATTTGGGGAGCACCAGCCTTACTGGGCCTATTCCAGAGGAGATTGGCAACCTGCCTAGTCTCCAGGCACTGGAACTGGCGTTTAGCTCTGTGGGGGGCTTCATACCATGGGACGCTCTTTGTTCAAAGACAAACCTCTCGCTGCTATTGCTCAACTCTACGGAGGTTGAAGGGCCCATCACGCGCGATATTGGCAAGTGCACGGCGCTTAAGTACCTTTCCTTGACTGGCAACACCAAGGTGAACGGCTCCATTCCCGTGGAGATTGACCAGCTGGGTAAGCTAACAAAGCTTGATCTCAGTGGCACGAACCTCAGTGGACCTATCCCCAGTGCGTTTGGCAACGTCTCCAGCCTTGAGGTGCTATTTCTGAATGATAATAATTTGACAGCACCGGTACCTTGGGAAGCCCTCTGCCAGCTTGCAAAGCTGTATTCTTTGAACCTAGGCGGCAACTCGCAGCTCAAAGGTCCGCCCCCCCCACCTTGTGTGTGGAGCTTAACACGCCTGCGGAGCCTGGCGCTAACCGACAGCCCAGTGTTTGGGGGAACCCCGCTCCCTTTGGACTTTTGCCAGCTCGTCAAGCTGGAGTTTCTGTATCTTGGGTCTACTAACCTAAGTGGCACAATACCCCCTTGCTTAGGCAACATGCCAGGGCTCAGAGCGTTGGGTTTGTCTGCAAATCGGTTAGTGGGGCCCATTCCCTCCGAGCTTGGCTCGCTCCGCAACCTTACCCTCGCAACACTCAAAGACAACAACCTGACCGGAAACATTCCAGAGGAATTCAGCGATTTGGCCCAGTTAGTCTGGTTGAACATTGCTAACAACCAACTTTCTGGCCCGTTGCCCGCCAAGGTGTTTGAAGGCCTCCGGCAACTCATCTCTTTAGACCTGTCCAACAACAGTCTTACGGGGCCTATTCCCACTGAGATAGGCGCCAGCGGAGAGGCGTTTGACTTCCTCAGCCTGGCGCACAACAACCTCTCCGCAGTCATTCCCCCGGGTCTTGGTAACCTCTCCAACCTAACCTACCTGGATCTGAGTTACAACCAGCTGTCAGGCGAGCTCCCCGTGGAGCTGAGGGCACTCCGCCCCTCCAAGTTGGGCCACATCAACCTCCGGCACAACAACCTGACTGGGGGGGTGGGCCCTATCGGCCACCTCACAGCCCTATCCGTGATTGCCCTCGACAACAACAATTTCAGTGGGCCTATTCCCACCGCGTGGTTCAACAGTACCGAGCTTGGGACGCTCATCCTCTCTTTCAACAGCTTCTCCGGGCCCATCCCCTCAGCCATTCGCAACATGCGGCCCCCCAACATCGCCGAAGTGTTGGCTCTATTCACCGGCGTTCCTGCCTCCCAATTCAGCCTCGTGGAGGAGATCTTTGGGTCTATCACCATAAGCCTCGACTCCAACCAGCTCTCCGGCAGCTTCCCAGACATAGGCCAAATCAACGTCACCGCCATAATTTTCAATGCTTCCGACAACAAGCTTTCGGGTACGTTCCGTGCGGGGCCCTTCAAAAAGAAAAATTTTACGGCGAGCTACTTAGAGCTGAGCAACAATGGCCCCCTCGAGCTCCTCCCCGGGTACAACCTGAGCGGGTGGGAGCTGGTCTCCCTCCCCAATATATCCTCCCAGGGGGATCCCCTCGTCGCGCCGGACATGCGGGCGCTGACAATTGCGGGGCGCGGCATCCCCCCCAGCAAGAAACTAGACCTGGCGAGAATCCCCGCCACGTGCCCCTATGTATCTTACGCCAACGGCAACGTCAACGACATCAGCTTCTGGGACGCGTGCGACAAGTCTTTTGGATGCGTTGTCAACCTCATTGGCACGGGCTCAAAGCTCAGCCGCGCGACGCGTGAAAGGGTATGCCTGGGCAAGATCTCGGTCTTCTTGGAGGGCGACTCGCCGAGAGTCCAATTCACAGCCTCGGGAGGCACGGGGTCCGCATTCCTGGTGAACCGGCAGGGCAGCGTCTACTTCAACGACTCTGCATTTGTCAACAAGCTCGACTTGGGCCCGGGCGGCGTGACTTATACCGGTGTCGACTTTCCACGCGTCCAACGAGGCAACCTGTGCCGCAACGAGGAGGCGGCGGAGGTGGTGGGCATCACCTATGGCGTCTTCGCAGCGCTTATTCTGGCCAGTGCTGCCGCGTGGTGGTGCGCCAGGGCCTGGGGCGTTTTCGATAAGACGGGCGGCAAGCTTTCGCCTCGGATTGCGCGTGGACTCGGCGCGGGCGCCTACCTCTGGGGCGTCGCGGGCTTCTTTGTATCCTGGGGCGATCTGGTGTCCGACGTCCAAGTGGTGGTCGAGATCTGGGGGGTGTGGTCCGCCTGGGTGATTCTGGGACTGATCCTCGCGCCGTTTCTCCTGAGCGCGCTGTATGCCGGGCGCGTGCTCTTGGAAGGTTCTGACTACCGTTGGTCCCTTTCGGAGGTGAGAACCTTAACTCTCTGTCAAAAACTTTGTTGACACATAAGTGGCACCTCAAGCCCCGCCTCCTTCTGTTCGACGAGACTTCTGTAAAGCTACTGTGTGCTGTGGTTTTGGACAGAGTTTCACATATCGACCTTCTGGATTCCTTTGTTGGTCCGTCAAATTGATGCGTACATTCAGCAGATCAAGCTGATGCGGACAGAAATTTGCATTGAGTAGCCTGATTTCTCAGTCTAGCTGAGGCCTAGCGGAGATTGCCAGGCCTCGAGACCCTTTCGCTTGTCATGCTTGTTCTGATCTGGTTTTCCAGGCTGGCGACGCCTACTGTGATTAGAGATGTACCGCTCAATTGATAGAGCCATTCGAGTTAAACCAAATGGTTTGATCGGCAGGGACGTAATGGAGATGCATTCATAAGAATTGCCGTGCAGACAGTACGAATGCAGCCCGTCGCAAGCCTGAAGCGTTGTGCCGTCAAGTGTCCGTTTGATTCGACTTCCTGACCGAACCCAAAACAGACAAAAGATTGTATATTGTTGATGTTTGCATTCGAAGGTCTTAATCTTCCCCCTTGACTTGCAGGCGCGCTTCAAGTGGATCCCCTTCTACAACCTGCCCGACCCCACTGATCCCCTGCCTCTGAGCGCCCTCCCTTTGTGGAAATACCCTCTCGTCCCACTCGCGCTCCCTGTCACTGTCGTATACGTCATCATACTGGACCTCCTCGACCTGCTCGACAAGATCGGCGCCCACCTGCGCTTCGGCCCCACCGTTTACTCTCTCCACGCCTACTCCGAGTTCCGGTCGCAAGCGGACCTGACGCTCCGCTCCATCCCGCAAGCGGTGTTCCAGACGACGCTCTACCTGCTGGGCAGCTCGCGCGCCACGCGCATCTACATCGACGAGCAGATCCTGTTCCGGTCCGTTGTGCTGTCGCTGCTGAACGTTTTCATCCGGTTCAACTTCCTGGCGCACGAGCACCTCACGACGCGCGTCCCGGTGGGGACCATCCTGCAGAGGCGCTTTGCGGCGCGCAACTGCCGCGCGACCGCGCTGCGTGCCTTGGGCGACGACGATGAGAAGGTCGATGAGCATATCTTTGAGAAGATCGAGGAGCTGTAATTGCATTTGTACATGCTTTCTAAAATATTGTAACAACAAGGCTCTCCGGCTGCGTATAGGGTGTTTAAGCTGAAGATCATCATTGTGATTGCACAGAACGGAAGCCTGTCAGCACCCCGCCTAGAGTTGATGCCGTGCTAGGAGAGTCATCAGAGTGGCTGCGCTAGTAGCATCCATTAACTACTTCAGACGAACCGGACTTGAAGTTGGACGGTCGTGTAGGGGTCACGAGTTTGGCTAGACTCAATCAAGCGCAGCCCTAAACATATTACTGGTGTCTAGTCTGTTCAACTATCCGTCTAATGAGTCCGTCTCCAATTTCGCATAAAGCTTCTGCGCTAAGTTTGGCAGGGCCCCTTGATTTATCCTATACCGCATTGGTTCATGGATTTTAGAGCAGATGTACGTCTTACTACCGTAGAGACTTCGACGATGTTCCTGCGTGATCCAACCGTCCAACAACCAAGTATGTTCTTCCGTTTGGGCACCAACTTGGCAACAAGGACTGATGCGATCATTGGTATTGAGTATGCATGTCGAACTTGGTAAGGTACAAATGCTTTCTCTTTCAAGGCCAGGTTGATTGGCTGCTATAAAGTGAATGCAAAATGTCGATCTTTCTTTGGAGAGTCGCTCTGGGATGTGACTCGATCATCAGCGTACGGGCTGCTGATTTGGCGGAGTTGCTGTCAACCGCGCGGCCGCGTTCACTCTCAACTTTCGCGCCTATATAGCCTACTAAGCCGTACTGGCCGTATGCGCGCCCAGCGCCTCGCGCAGGCCAGGCTGCAACTAAGAAAAGAAAGGTCACGTACTACCTGTTTGAAGAGCTCCTCGTCACTTTTGAAGTGTCGATCATAAGAGGAAGGAAAGAGAAGAGCATAGCGCAGGCGCCACGGTTGGCTCGCTAGTATGTGCCAGCTGTTCTTACATACCACTGCAATATTACCTGGGTCTCTGGCATCTGCAACTTAAGTACATACACAGTCGAAGCTCTACCTAGCTTAGTAGGTGAATGCAGGATCTCCTTAGGTGCATGTGCCAGTCACTGCTGCTCTTTCATGTGGCCGGCTCTGCATGCCCGCCCAATCTATGCACCCCTGATTGAAGTATACATGGCGCTTCAAGACCTGCACGTAAATGAAGCTGCAGCGTGATTGGTCCAATCGACTGCGCACCGTCATGCTGATCATCATGTCTGCTCAGGCTACCACCCGCCTACAGCATACGTGTCGCACACTTAGAATTCTGGAAGACCATGCACTGACGGCCGAGTCACTGACTGCACCGCAATCATTGATAAAAGGGCCACATATGAGGTGATAGCTGAGCGCTGGCTGCACGCGCTTGGATTACGGAATGCACACATCTCAATCGACGGGGAGCTCGTTATGTTTCAACCCCGAACTTCGTGCAAGAGATCACTCACGTACGAACGCAACTCCGTATGACCACGTCGCTAAACTAGCTGCTCAAGCATTGTCATGTTGAGTCACTGCCTGAAATATTTGAGCTCGTGTGCAGTCTTTTTCGGTGTTTCGAAGAGCTGAGCTCGGGTCGCCTAGTGTCCAGCTAAGACTCTAAGTTCTATGCAAGCTACATGTCGTCTTTAGGAGGGAACCCTTGACGTTCGACTGCGATGCTACCAGAACAGCGCGCTCGGTTGTAAAAGTACTCTCTGGTGCCCCAGCACTGAGAATGTGCTCAGATGGCGGGCTCGACTTCGTCTCTAATACCTAGCTGCGGCGCCTGTCAAGCCCTAACAAACATATTCAATAGCCGCTACCCTATCCATGTCATTACTCGTCAATGGAAGGGAAAGTCGATCAGCTTAAATTCCTTAATCTGATCTCGTTTAGGAAGTCACAATCAAGTTCAGATGCGCAACAACCAGTGCGGAAAAGCTCGTGCTTCTCTCTTACAGCCCTTTGGCGTTGAGGGCACGTTTTCTGCCAGTGAAGATACCCACTTTCCAACTCTACGTATTTAGTAAATGTCCCTTTAGTAACTGGTGGTGAGCAGTCCTAACAGTGGCGTCTGCTGAGGGGTTCATAGTCCCTCCACAGGGTCACCCGCAGAACGGCCCGCCAAGCAAACCGTTCGCTTAATTACGGTCCGCAGGCCGCTCACAGTCTTCCTTCAACAAGATCTCTCCGCGACATATCTACCGTTGGCTCAGCGCTTTCTCACTGATCGACCGTCGCCTAAACAGGTACCAAGTGAGCAAGAGCCAGCTGCCACCAGTGGCAGCCCCCGCGGCCCACACTAACGGCTTCCCCGTTTCGCTCCTTACTTCCGTTACAAGCACCGGAACCTTCTCTCCATTCTGGTCCGGTTCAAGCGTCTTCGGCACGGTCCACGTCATCATGGCCTGCTCCCCCTTCCCCGCCTTCTCCCGCTGACTCCTGATGTTACTAACGTACCAGCTATACGTCCCGACGCACTCCTGGGGTGCGGTTAGAAACGCGGCCGCGTCGAGGCACAGCGCGGTGTCGAGCGCGCCCTGCAGCGCCGAGTCGATCTTCGTGACCGTCCCGTCGAAGTCCTCCCAGGTGAACGTGTCGATCCGTTGCTCGATATAAGCGGCGGCGTCGGATGCCTGCTGGATGCGCGCGGGGCCGTGCTGGCGGTAGGAGTGGGAGCGCATCTCGCCGGACGCAGTCGGGACGTCGGTCGCGAAGAAGACGCGCGAGAGGTTCAACTCGCGCAGCTTGGCGCGGGCGGCCGTCACCGCACCTGGGGAGGGGCGGAGAATGGCGTCTACTTCCGGAGAAACTCTGATCGCGACAGAGAAGTGACGGAAAAAAAGAGTGCGTGCAGAAATTGCATGCATTAGAATTGTGAGGAACTTTGATCGTGACAGCAGAAACTGAGGGGAAGGAAGCGCTTGCGAATGATGGATGCTGCTGAAGGATCGACCTGCTATGGCAATGGCTGACTATGGTCGAAAAGTTGCTGGTCTGGGGAGATCTATTGCAGTCATTCATCTCGATTCAAGGACTAAGGGGATAACTTACTTGCTGCCGTTACGAAAACTTCGCTAATGGCTAAAGAGATGAATGAATGAACGGCGATAGTGAGAGATCAACATCGTTGCTACTCTCACGCACTTATCGCCAACGGTCAGGGCAAACCACTCCTCACGCCCTCACCCTGTGCACACCGAAGCAGGAGGTCCATATCGCAGTCCTCCCGTTCGATGCACTTCTCCACGCGCCATTGCAGGGCGATGTAAGGCCCGCCAAGCCACTGCTTCAGCTTTGCCGCATGCTGAGGGACCTGGACGAGTCGTACAGCTGGCAATCAGCACGAGGCTCCACGGTCGGAGGGCAACTAATTCCCCAAACAGGTGCTTGCCTCGTTTAAGCTGTCTGGCGAAGGCTGGGCAGCGGCCACATGGGCGATGAAAAGAGGGTATATATCATCGGCACCTCTTCTGTCGGTTCTTCGTCGAACAGGCTCTTTCCTCGCTTTTGACTTCGGGTCAACTGTCCACTGTAGTCCCTAACGAAACACTGGGCAACTGACACAGAACGAGCAGAAGGTAGCAACGACCAACCAATAATGGCGGACCTGCGCAAAGCTCATTTCCACCGTAAGAGCTTCCCAAAGCGCCCTCAGAATCTTCGAGTGTCCGGACCTGCTGTTGAAATGCTGACACAGTGTTGCAAACCTTCAGTCTGTGTCTGGCATTATGCCGCTCCTTCCACCCCGGAGTGTAAGGAAAGTCTCCTTGATTATGGATAGGCCACGCACTCCCACCGACAGTGCCCATTATCATGACGTCAGCCCATGCTGCGGGTCACACTCGTGGCCCTGCCGATCCCTGCTGGCCATAATCACCCAACCAAACCAGAAAAAGGTCCCCGCAATGACTCCCTCACCTTGGGCGTAACTTCCAGGTACTCCAGCCCCTTCTCGATCAGCTCCTTGGGCGCAAACGCGTCAAATGCACGGCTCTTCACTACAAACAGCACGTCCGGATCCTTGAGCGCCCGCACCTCGTCCACCACTCTCCGAAACGCTTCCTTTTCGTCGATCCCGTCGTACTTGGGCTCGTCAACGCACACCACCCGATCGACGTCCGCTAGCTGCGACATCCGATACCATAGCCACGGCCTCACTCGCATCCCGCAAAAGTCCTCCCGCCGCCTCAGCACCAGCGCCGCCCCCGACGGCTTCCTCCCCGCGCCTAGTTGCTTCCACTCCTCGTTCGCAAGCCCCTCGAAATAGTCCGGGTAGTTCGTCACTGGGTGCGTTTCGTTGAACGCCAGAAAGAAAGCTGTCCGTCTCATCTCCGCCACGGCACGTGTGGCATCCTCCTTCTCGATCTCCGCGCCCTGCCGTTTTCGCGTCTCGTAGACAAACTGTTCGAGCGTGACCCAGTCCACGTATTCCCCGAGCTTCTCAGAGTCGAAGTACTGACAAAAAGGGGCAGGGCGCTGCATGCCAAACTCCCCCTCGCCCGAGTCTGGAAGGACGATTGTGCGCTTGAGCTCCAGTGCAAGCGCCAGCAGCTCCGCAAAGTGGCGGGACGCTTTCGTCAACTGTTCGTTGATGTCGGCGGCGATGATGTACTTGTCTGAAAGGAACGGAGAGCCGGATAGTTGAGTTGCTTGGGGGCAGCAATGGTATTCAGCTTGATTTGCAGAATCGAGTTATTGTTTAAACAGAGATTTCACTTGCTTGAACCTGAAGTCCTTTAAAGGCCAGAGCAGAAGAGGAGCAATTATTCGTCCACCAGCTCACCAAAAAAGCCAACTCCCTCAGCTTCCGCTCTTAGACGCCAGGAAGGGGTGACAACTAAATTCATCTCGACCTAAGGTTGTCTGTGAGCCAAAAAGAATGTATTTTAACATAACTTTAAGATATAAATTGATGGTGTTTTGTGATGGTTGTTCTCTGAAAACTTCAAGCGGAACAGAGTTGTACACGCCGACGAGCTTCCTTTGGCCAAGATATCTAGTAGTTAATCAACATGCCATTGTCAACTGGGCTCTCTTATTGGTGGTGGTAGTTTCTGTTCGACCAGTTCGCGAAACATCCTTGAGGATCATATAGATTAACGTGATCATCATGGTCACATTAATCTATATGATCCTCAAGGATGGACATCCCGCAAAACTGTTGAAGTAACCTTCGCGTGGAATCATGCTAGGCTGCGGGTGAACTCAAAAGCCCATTGAAGAGACCTCACCTGACCGCATCCCTGTTCTTCTGGAAGACTCAAGCGAAGAGCTGCACTCCCAATCCTCCACTCTGGATTGCATCACAGATACTGGCAAGGGTTTCCCTCCATGGCACAGAGCACCCTTGTGGCACAGGTCTGAACTCAGGCCTTTGTTCTGTGATGAACGAAGAGCAGACGGCCGGTCCCGAAGCAACAGCATGAGAATGCACGATGAGATGATACAGCCGCCCAGGAGAGCGGCGACGCGCACGCGCTCTGACTTGTGCCGCTGCATTGCGTGGGACGCTGATGAAGCACTCGCTGTTGCATTGTACGCCTCTCTAAAACTTGCTTTCCTCCGACTCTGGAAGCTAGGGCACCTATATCATCGGCAGGTGGTAAACCTGCTCATCGGTCCTGATAAAAGTCAAAGCTGCGCCAGCCTCACCCACATTTCAGCTAGATTGCAGCATCGCGATCTTCAGCAAACCGACTTTTGCTTTTGCTTTTGCTTTTCAACAAGACTCAATGACAAGAGCAAGATCAAAGACTCGGAGCAAGAGAAGAGCGACGACGCCGCCACCTGTCACATCAACCTGACCCATCGGGCATCGCCGATTCGTCGAAATAGGCATCCAATCAAAAGGCTTGATACTTGATCACGTGGATTTTAAAGTACGCACCAGCGCCGCTCTGAACCAGAAAAGCTTCTCGTTCCGGTACCGGTTGCCAATCGACAGTGCACCAAGTTCCAAACGCCCTGCATGTCGCCACAGAATATTCTGTCCAGCTCAGCTTTCAATGAGCCTGCTGCAAGGCTTTGAGGCGCAGGCTTGCGCTGGAAGGGTCACATGACCAATGTCAACGGCAAGGCACAGAGGAGAGCGCTCTCACACCGTCTTCTAGCGCATCAGCATTCAGCCAGCTACACAGGAACGTTTTGCTCCATGCTACTGATTTCAGGAGCTCCACCTTTCCGACATTGTCTGGTGTCGCGCTTAAGAGGTCGGCAGTGTTGTAGGCGGCAGCAAAATATCTTCTTTTTCGGCTGTCGCCCGATTGCCATTTTAGATTTGAAGCAGACCGTCTTTTACAACGTGGGATGATGGCTGCTCAAGGAGCAGAGGAGGCTTTGAGTGCTTCTGTAAGTGGCAGACTTTTAGATTGTTGAAAGTATCAAAATCTACCAGCATTATGAGGATCGGTGCAGACAGAGATAGCAGTCTCAGTGAACCAAATGACAGTGATCCAACGGAAGCACAAGCGGCCAACTGATTGCAGAAAGAAAATGACCTAAACTTGCATCCTGGCATTGGTTGGTTCCCGTGTGACCATACTGCTGAGTGTCAGATATTTGTGCCTGTTTGCATGCTTGATTGCATGCCACGAACCTTTGCAAGCCAGCAGTGGCAGGATTTGGATGCCTGTATCTCTGTACGAGTGCTGCATGTAAGAGCTGGCTGCAAATGCTGAGGGCGGGGTTCTTGGCTCTTTTGTCTTCCTTTCGAATCGAGATGCGTTTCCTGCATATCAGGTTGCTTGCTTGGAAAATGGTATTTGAAAGGGCTTTTTTCAATTATAACCTTGTTTTCCAGGTTTGTTCCCTTGCACGAGGATGGCTTCTTATGTTCCCCTTTGCGTCGAATTGCAAGAATGAGGTTTTCCTTGATGCATATCAACAGATGTCAAGAAGGGTGGTAACTTGTTGGTCTCTTTGGCTGATCCTGCACTGAGAACCACATTGAGAGACTTATGTTCTAAAAGAGACCCCCCCCATGTCTAATCAGGCCAGGTTTGTTCGGAGTGATCGAACCTGAGTCACCGAAATCCAATAGACATTTACCACGACGCGCTCTCGTCATTGTCAGTGCGGCACTGCGTCTGAGACTGAGAGCGATCCCCTCTTCTTGGTAAACTGGATGGTTAAAGATCAGCGGCCATGAATGCAAGGCAAGGCCCATCCATGTAAACTCGTTCACGGCACACTAAACATTCTGTCTCTATCAAGCCATTCAACGCTTTGCACAAGCCCATTCTGCTCTTTGCCTAAAGACAAACCACTCCCTTTCTTCACCAGGGTGCTCCTCCAGTAACAGAGAAGCTGGTGCATCACTTGACTAGCCAAATGAGCCGGATGGGGGACTCTGGCGAGGAGCGCCTCGCAATGCTGAAGGTGGTCGGAGAAAGGGCGGGCTGGCTCATCCAGCCAACGGACGTGACGCTGGGGGATCAGATCGGGAAAGGCGCGACAGCGAAGGTTTACAAGAGCGTTTGGCACGGGCTTGACGTGGCCGTCAAAACGATCGACCCGGAGCTTTTTCTCAAGGATCCGGTGAGTTGCAGTTTCAGCATTTCCAGCTTTTGTCACCGTTGCTTTCTCATTCAGCTTTCTCTTCGCATCGATATTTGACAGGCCTCGTACAAAAAGTTTGGATACTTGCTTGTACTCTTAGACATGTCTTCATCAGTTTCTATTGAAAACATCCATTGTTTGTTGTTTGGAAACACAAACTCGACACGTCTTCAGCAGTTCCTATTTTGAGACGCACGTTGTCTGCACTTTAGGAACAGATGATAAGGAGCTGTGTTGAAAGGCATAGCAGAGAGAATCTGAAGTAATGTTATAGGGCCATTCTTATCCGCTCAAATGCATCCTTTTACCCAGGGCGGCCTCACCTCGTTTTGCCGCGAACTCGAGATCCTCGCCCGTCAGCGGCACCCGTTCATCCTGCCTTTCTTTGCGGCCACGCTCAACTACCCCGAGCACTGTTGGGTCGTGACCGATGTCATGAAGTGGACGCTCGTCCAGTGGCTGCACGGAACACGGGAGCGCCAATGGACGCGCATCATCCCACTCCCGCCCCTGCGAGATCGCCTGCGGGTTTCGCTCGAGGTGGGTTAAGCGAGGGGCTTGGCAGAATTTGGAGACGGGTTTGAGAGGGGAAGAATGTCAACTTTGAGTAGGTTGCGTATCACATTCCTCTTTGGGTGCATTTCGAGGCAGGTCCGATGGAAGTTCGAGGCTAAGGCTCCGCTAGAATTCTGCCAGTTTAAACCAAGGGTCCGATTCAAGGCACTTTAAAACTTGAGACTGGTGCGCTCTCGAATGCCTGCGATTAGACGGGCAATGTTTTGAGATGGTTATAAAATGGATAGAGGAAATGAGGCGGCAGTCTGTTTGATAGCTTTAAGCACAGAAACGGAGGTAAGCCTCAGTCTTGCAGCAAGAGTAAATCAGGCCGGCAAGAGCACACCTGGGCCTGGTTTCCTTCCGTCTAAAAAAGCTACCATTGCGGTCTAAAGGATCGACACGTGTCTGCATTCAAGACGATGTGATCAGCTGTGTGGCGAGCTGCGAGGGCGTTCCGGAAGTTGGCTCACGGCATGCCCTTCTGATCGAATCTTTTCGATACCGTAATGAGAATCTTCGAAACAGACACTGGAGACTCCTTGGGATCCCCGGTACTTTCAGATGACACCAAGCAATCTCGAGCACTGCGAGTTGCTTATCTCTCTCATTTCTTTGGTGTGTTTGCAGATCGCGTTGGGCATGCAGCACTTACACGAACAGGTCCCTATGATCATCCACAGGTGAGGCCTCCTTGCCATCCATTCCTTTACAACTAAACAGACGTGTCCTGAGATGCTTGGAATCGCTAATAATCGAACTTGAAAGTCTTTGCCAACTCAACAAGAGTGTCTGGTAAAGTTAATTGAGTTGTTCAAACTGGCTTGTATTTGGACTGCAAAGACACCGAATGTAGAGCCTTCCATCTCGCAAAATCCTTGTCAGGAAGATGCGCTCCCTGCATTCGTGAAAGGACGACCAGCAAGCGACGTCTGTACTTGTGCACTTCATATACAACGCCTTCTAGATCGGGGATTGCCTTACCCTGGTTCTTCTGTTCTTTCAATGAAGGCTCAGCAAAGATCCGACGCTTCGAGACTTTCCAAAGTACTCTTCTCTCCCTCGTCTGCAGGGACCTGAAGCCGTCGAACGTGTTTCTGGACTCTCGGGGCCGTGCTTTCGTGTCGGACTTCGGCTTCGCCCGCCAGCTGCAGCCCCAGGATGCAGACCAGACGGGCGAGACAGGTGGGCTGCCCACCGCTTGCCACGTGTACACCGTTAGTTTGCCCAGAGCCTGGCCAGTCAGAACCGAGAGGCACGTTGAAGCGAGCAGCAATGAGTCCACCTTTTCTTTTGCTTGTTACGAGGCTGGAAATTGTACGGAGAGGGTACAGAGCTTTCTTTCTACAGGCATGCCTCACACGTCGTGAGTTGTTGAACCGACCAAGCTGGATTGGGACGATAGCTCTTCGAGAAACATGACCTTTGAATGGTTTCACGTGGCCGTCCCAACGTATTAGCGACCGGGCGTCAACGTCATTTGCTCAGAACGCAGAACGCTGCTGGCTTTGGCCTCGGTTATGCCCGGGTTTGGAAGGTTGTAGTTTTGAACGGACAAACCAAGACTTAAATCTGAACTCAGTACATACAGTAAACTGAGTCTTCAGCTGCTCGAGCGGGTCTTTCTGTGAAAGTGCCATTATGACACAAGCTGCACGAAGTACCTGCTGCACACGCGCTTGTGCGGCCACAGATTGGATCAGACAGTCCGACATCAGAATCCGAGTTTGCCGCGTCCAGAATCGTACTCATTCGTTAAACGGCCGCACCAGTGCTACAACTCTTCTTTGTAGCTAACACGTGGATTATCGGTCCAAGTTTGCTACTGAGTTTCTGCCAGCCTGCGGTTAAAACGCCCTTAAAACAGGCAGACTCGATATTAACTTCGAGAAGGTTTGCGCGCGAGCGGCAAAAAGACAATTCCGCGGGTGCAATCCGACGTCTGCAACGGTTTGCCTTTCCTGCAGGCACGTACATGTACATGGCTCCTGAAGTGATCCGCTACGAACATTACAACGAAAAGTGCGACGTTTATAGGTGGGCTTTTTTCTCAAAGAAATGTCGGGGACGGTTGACGTCGACGGCCGGACGGGACTCATACGCTGACTCCTGAGAAGGAGAAGCCCCGCGTTCAGCTGATCAACCACCTTTCGAGCAGCGCCATCAAATTCCACACTTTTTGCATTCTCGTCCGCATGCCCAGAATGCGTTCTTCAGTTACATGATACGTTGATCGGGCCTTTTCGCGTCGTTCATCACACCCGCTTTTGGATTTCTTAATCCAGTCACCCAAGAGCGCATCATAGAGGAATTTGACGTGGCCTTCAAGACTTTGGAAACTATTTTGAGAGCAAGGACGAAATCGGCAAGGAGGAGTTGAGAAGAGTTGAGAAGAAACTGCGACTCGGTCAGGCTGAGAGGCTGCTCTTGCTTGCCCAAGAGTCGTTCTCTGTAGCGCGTAGAGGATACAGACGAGGGACGTTGAATAGGAACGAGGATCCACAGACACCCTCGTAACCACGTGGCGATGTAAGCAAACTCTCTGTATCGCAAGTGCACTCGATTGTGTCGAATGTGTACGTAACGACGTCAAACGACTTTTATCGACCAAACCCCGTGAGAAACGCGTAAAGGACATTGTTTGGGCACTTTCCGCTAATGCTGGCACGGTCTTTTCACGCAGCTTCGGGATCCTGCTCAACGAGCTGATGACTGGGCATCCCCCGTATCTCGAGGCCTACCTGTCACCTGTCCAGGTAAGGAGGCGGCCAGGCTGTCGGTCTTTTCTAGCTAGATTTTTCGCAATCCAGTTTTGCCATCTTATTAACTTAGTTTAGTCATATTTACGGTTCTGCGATGACACCAAGTAGAGCCGTTGATGAACGCTACTCTAGTCTACGATATTGTAAGCGAGAACAAGCATTACTCTCATGCACAGCAGCTTTTGCGGTCTCTCAAGGCTTGCGGGTCGATACGGTCACGTTATGGCAATCTGGCTCTGACCACCTTTTAAGTAGTCTCTGCCCCAATCAATGAGTTGCATAGCGGCCCGCTGTCCGCATCTTGGTCTCGACACGTCGCTGCCTGCGATCAAAGCGGCGACCTTCACCTGCTTCCTTCTCTCTTGAAGGTCGCCCGAGGCGTTGCGGACGGGAGGCTGCGCCCGATGCTCGCCAAAGAGCCCGGCCCGCTCATGTCTGAGCTCATCGAAGCGTGCTGGGCCAAGGAACCCTCTGTGCGGCCCGCGTTTGGCCAGGTTACCACCCGCTTGCGTCAAATCATTGCTGACGTGGACAATGCTGGTAAGCACCACTCTGACAAAGGGGCTGACGGCCACCATGAACACCACGGCGTGCTCGGAAAGTTGTTTCATAAGTCGAGCTAGAGCGGATATAAGAGATGCGTCTGGCGGGGTAGCGATGCTTGTCTAATTATAGATAGCACCGGTGGGTTGGTTGCGAGAGTTAGAGCCCGAGCTAGCGAGCCGAGCTCCGTGTGTCAAAGTTGTTTGATGGAAGCGTCCGCTAAGCGTGTAACGAGCAGTTACACGGTCTTGTCTCGCTCGAAGGGAGCCGCTTCGCGACGGTGAAAGAAGCATAGGCGCAGGAATATTGCTTTGCTTAGATGCATAAGATATTGCTTGCCAAGTTTTGTACGCATGGGATTGATATAATACCAGATGGTCACACATCCCTTTTGTACAAAGTTTTGTCTGAAAACTGTGGCGCCTGATATATCTTTCTGTTGCATCCTCAGATGCACCAAAGCCGAGCACGATTTGGACTTGGTGGCAGTAGCCTCCACCAAGGGGCACCCCTCATTATGTCAAATTTGTATGTAAGCTAGCGTTTGTCGGAAGTCAGATGCGTGTTGAATATTTTTGAAACCGCTTCGAAAAGTCCGTTGAACGTGTCGGCGGGAATTCAGTAAGCCCATGGATAGACTCACGGCCTCCACGGTGGTTCAATGTGCTTTATGTACGTTTTGCCTACATTGACTCATATCAAACCGAACCTATCCTGATACTTGACTCCGGCATTAAGCATGCGTCGCCAGTATCCGGGCGGGGCACGTTGTTAACCACTTATTGTTGCTTGTGCATGCTGCTTGCATGGAAATCCTTCCAGGGCGCGGCCATGATCGATATGCACAATTAGCGAGCTCGCATGCACATGCCTGAGGCATGCATGCTTGGGACATGCATGAGCCTAGCTCGTTCTGACCATGTATACTCATGCGTTAGAGGGCCTGCGCATGCTATAGGGCAGGACTAGACCGGTCCTGCCAGCATCGGCATTGGCATTCGACTAGCGGCGGGGCGGCTCGCGTGGCCCCCTGACTATATTAGAATTCTTAGCCACGGGTTCATACGTGTGGTAAGGCGCCTTAGTGCGCTAACAAGCCGCCTGGAATTAATACATGTACCTAGATGCGCTATGCTGCTGGCATGCATGCAATGCAATGATCATGGTACTAACGCATGAGCGCGCAGCTTAAACAGCCTGGCATGCTCAGTGTATGCGTGCATGTGCACAAGTGAGTCGTACACCAAGGATCAAAATACCGTGCCTCCAATGCCAGGCTCTGGCATTACAATATAGACGAACAATATCATCAAAAGCCAACACAGAGCTAGTCAATCGCATCAAGCTGCGCAATCTGATCCATACAATCTAGCAGTGTGTCGAGGAACTTTGACCTCTGCAATGCGTGTTACAACAGGAAAACATTCCCATAACCATGGTCTGGCGCAATTGGCGGCCTGCTCATCATCATCTGTCGTGCGCTCATCGAGATTTGCTGCATCAAAGACAGTCTCCAAACAGCGGACGAAGTTCGTTACAGAAGCATGGAAAGTTCCTACAACACAACCCATTTTAATGCACACTATCGTACTTGGGTGGCAGAAACCATCAGCCCGGACACGTCAGCCCCAATCTTGGCAATCTGGTCAACTACGCAGATCTTGCCGGCCATCTCAGGCACGTAGTGCGCGCCCGAGTACGGGCTCTGCACCGACCGGCTGCCCTGGTAAATGGGCGTCATGGTCGCCGCACACACGACAAACGGATTGCGGGGCTCGTAGTTGAGCGGCACCTCGTCTTTGGGGGTCTTCTCGCACGCCTGCAACACCTGCCGCGCCTTGGTGGCGACCTGCGGACAAAATGCAAACCCGCCTCAGCGAATGGACGACGTTTTTCTGCTGCGCATCTTCAAACACAAAGCAGATCAATGGAAGAAGAGTTGGGCTAAAGTCGAGTCCATCCAACCACAGAGCACTGTGTGGTGTTTTAGGGTCGAATGCAAGTCAGATTGATCTAAATTCCTTACAATCAGTTCCGAATGGGTTGGAAAAGCATATCAGCTCTTCAAAGAGACTTTTGTGAAAGCCACAGGACTTCGACATCATCGCCTCCTAGAGTTTCGACCCGTGTGCGCGCTTGACAAAGCCAACCACCGCTTGTCCTGCCCGCACAAACCCAGTCCATCGAGCCAACTTCTTAATCGCAAAAAGCCGTGTGCGGTCCCGACACTTCCGTCTATATAAGATTTTTCCCAATCACGACCCAGTGCGTCCACACTCACCGCGGGTGGCGGGTTGAGCTCCAGCAGGCGGCGGCAGAAGGTGGCCGCGGTGTTGAAGTTCTTGAGCTTGTAGTTGATGGACATAGCGCTCTGCAGGCTGAGCCGCACGTGCGTCGGCTGCAGTGCGCAGTGCGTGAAGTAGGCCGCGAGCTCTGCCTGCCGCTGCGGGTCATCTGCGGCCGCCTTGCGCGCGAGCTCAATGCGCAGCGCGTGCACGTACTCCTTGGCGATGCTCAGGAGCTCCTTCACATCGTCCACCTCCTGCAGGGCGGAGCGAAGGGGCAGGACCAGTGAGAATAGGCACTCGGGCGCTCCTTGGATGGGCTTTGGTAAAAGCTGTCCCTAAATTGTCCAAACCACAACGCGGTTGCGCAGCAGGTAAGGATGGGCAGGAGGTAAGAGCTTTTGATACGGCTCTGAGATTTGGATGGCCAGGTATTGAAGCTCCTTTACCTTGATCGAAGGCAGCAAGAGCGCAATCGGCGATACGTGTACCGATGGGATACGAACATTGCCTGTTTAGAAGTAAACCGCCGATTGCAGGCAGACCTCTCAGTCGGGGAGAAGCGAAGGACACACGGAAGCTCAGATGCAAAAGCCTAAGAGAACAACGGCAAGAAAAGACCACTGTCGAGGTGCCAATGACAGAGTCGACATCCACACCTGCCACAGTCCACAATTACAAACTTGCACGCTTTCCGTCAACATAGAAAACTTTCAGACGTTGTCTCCCTGCGTCCCCCACTTTATTCGTCCGCTCTTTCATCACTGCATTCCGCCCACATCGACATCGACAAACGAAACGCCCATATAGAGGGAGGCTCGAGGCTCAGCCTTCTGCCTTCTCGTTCCTTGGATGTCCCTTCAAGACGATAATGCTTAAAGCGAGTATTGAAAGCAACTAGAGGCGAGAACAAGCTGCGCTTCGGCTTCCTGGTAACCAAAGCAACTAGAGGCGGGCACGCGCCGCGTTGCGCACCTTCCTCGTCTCCACGACGACGAGCGGGATGGTGTGCAGGATGGTGGTGAACAGCTTGAGCGCCTCCGTGAACTTGCCCTCCGTCGTCGTCTTGTACGCCACCTTGAGCTTCTCCTCCAGCTGCGGCAGCTTGAACGCCAGCGACGGCGCGCCGGGGGTGCCCGACACAGACTGCACGGGGACCAGAAGCAGGAGTCAGCATAAGAACACGCTGTCTGCTTTCTACTACAGCGACCCGATGTGAAGGAGTGCTTTATTGAGGGAGCGCTGCGCAGATAAATTGCAACGTAGCAACCATGGGGCCGTTCCACTCGTCAGCTCTGCGTTGATGCAGCGCTAAAGGCGGCAGAAAAGGTCACCACGTGCTTGACTGAACCACCTCAGCGGACCTCCTTCGTTGTGTGCCGTTCCCACAAATTAGCACCCTCTCTTCCAAGAAAATTCCTCCTATCAATCACCACGAAACGATTGCTCTTCCAGCCAGAAGGACCCGGTCCCCACCTGCTCGGTCCAGCCCTTCTCCACGCCAAAGCTCGCGCTCGGCATGCCCGCGACGCCCGGCACGAACGTGTGGCTCGCCAGGAACGCCTCCATGAAGTACGGCTTGAGCGGCTCGAACGCGGCCGCGCCGATCTGCCGGCTGAGCAGCCGGAACGCGGTGTCAAACGCGCCCGCCGCGGCGTGCTCTCCGGCCAGAGACGACTTCTGGGTCCAGCGCTGGGTGAGCGGAACGCCGGCCGAGGGCGTGACGAAGAAGGAGCTGTCCGCGGGGCCGACGTCGGTCTCGCCGCCGGCGGGGAGGTCCAGGTCGTCGACGCCGCCCCAGCCGCCCTCGGCGTCGTCGCCCTCCTCGGCCTCGACCTGCGCAGAGGACTTGAGTATTGCGACAAGCACACGGGAACTTAGAAACCGGCCTGGTTCTCTCATTTGCAGCGAAACGAAAGTAACTCTTCGATTTTGCATGCTTTTGTTCCACAGTTGATGCACGTTTCGTACAGATCCACTCTGCGGAACGAATCAAACTGCGACTCCAACGGTTTGCTGGCTTCCAGTAGTTCTGTTGACTTGCAAGCCGTGGGAACAAGTACGCGCTCTATCTACTCGAGCCGTTCTGCATCAACGGAGGGGAAAGCATCTGGGAAAGCATCCTTTCGGCAGTGCTCCTTCGAACTTCGGATGCAGGGAACTTTGGAACTCGCGACAAAGCATTTACATTAACGACGGACGCCCCAACATGAGCTCTCAAAGGTCTTTCTTCCAACAACAGTCAGCAAACCAGAATACCACGCACCTCCTCGCCGGCATCGCCTTGGTCTCCGTCCAGTGTCTCGGGCATGTCGGCCTCCTCGCCCCACGCGCCCTTCTCCTCCTCCTGCTCCGGCGCCTCCTCTCCTTCGATGGCCCCCTCGAAGAAGCCCTTCTGCACCAGCAGCAGCGGCCAGTTGTTCTCGCGCAGTACTGGAGTGGGCGGCGCCAGTAGGTGGCATTTCGCGGCGTCCGGGACCGGGGGGAGCGCCTCTTCCTTCGCCTGGAAGTCCGCCTCCAGCTCTTCTGCGACCTCCGTCAGGCCGTGCACCTGGGAGGAGCGGAACGGAAACGGGCTTAGGCAAAAAAGACTATTCCGAGGGAGACATCGGCCAACGCACGGGTCCGACAAGGGATGGAAGGTTAACGCTTGAAAGACGAAACGTGTGAGCCAGTTCAGTACAACTCCGCTTGAAACAAATGACACTCATCGTGCACCATGATGACGGATGTGACGGGGACATTTTTGAAGACTGCTACTCAGTCGACCCTTTCAAGGAGGGAGAACTCTAGATGACCTAGGAACAGCCGAGAACGGCGTTATCACTCTTGAGAATATCTTAGATGCAATCAAAGTCCGGAAAAAGCAGTTAGCAGAAAAGCGGCACGTCCGGGCTGCAAACTTACCTAAAAAGGAGAGGGTATGCTGCAATGCACCGAGAAGAGCAATTGTTTACCAATCGGACAAAGTAAAGCAGCGCAAAGTGCTCTCTGTCCATACCTTGGCAGTGACGTAGGCGAGGGGCCGGTGGCCGGCCTCCTGCAGGATCTTGACCCGCTCGGCGGCGTTCCCCAGGTAGAGCGCGTTGTGGAAGCAGCCCATAACGTCCTGGCGCATCTCGGCGATCTTGAGCATGGTGGCCAGCTTGTCCAGGTTGCCCGTGATCAGGTACAGGAACGACAGGCGCTCGAAGCTCTTGGTCTTCTGGTACGAAAACTCCACAATCTGCGGCACAAAAGGGGGTCTTGCTCAGGACCAGAGGGGCAGACTTAGCATGACGTTAAAAAGATAATCTGTGGTTCAGAATGCCAGGTCTGCAGTCCTAGATTGGATACTTAGGCTCGGCGCATGCAAGAACGGAGGAGGTTCTTGTGCTATCCAGCCAGTACGGAAAAATCAACAGACTTCTACTACAGCAAGAGAACAAGCTTGACCTCCAGAAGCGTTTTAAAGTCCGTACGTGCACAAGAGATTCTGGCACCGGCTTAGCATTTCCCAGGCGTTTGGTAGGAAGGAAGCTGCCGAGCAAGGCGCAGGCTGGACTCCGTCTACTCAAACACTCAGAGAACCAGTACCAAAAATTGGACGGAACCAAAGCAATCAATCACAAATCGAATGCCAGTTGCTAACAGTACTGTCCCCTCACCTCGTAGTTGCCCTGGCGCAGCGCCTCCACCCCGAGCTTGTACCAGTAGTCGTTCTCGTCGATCTCGTGGCAGCTCTGCAGCGCGACCTCGATGTTGCCGCACTCGATGGCCAGGTTGAAGCGCGTGCGCTCGTCCTTGACGAAGTGGAGGGCCACCTCGGGGAAGCCCTTCTGCTGCAGGTATGCAATGATGGACTGCCCGCACAGCTGGCTGCCGCGGATCATCTGGAGCACCAGGTCGTACTTGCGCTGCAGGAGAGCGAAGGAGCATGATAATATTAGAGAAAGGAGTGACAAAGAGAGGTTTGGTTGCATAGCGGTGGTCGGAAGATTCTCAATCGGGGCTGAGACAATAGAGTGAATACTACGTGCTCTATGCGTACAAAAAGCTCCGAATATTGATGGATGCAAGCAAAAGGACGTCCGTCATAATCATTACGCTAATTATGCACTAGATGTTTTCGATTGGATGTCTTGATACCTTGACATGCTATCGAGACACCTCTTGACAACAGGCAATCAAACAACGTGATAGAAGGTGCAAAGGTGGCAACAGGGCCAGCCACGTCAGTCCCCACACCAAGTAGAGTCTGTCAAAGCAAGCAACATTTAAAGCCTTCTCTGGGCTGCTGCTCAAGATCCTCTCGTAGACTTTGCAGGCGGTGTCGGTTGGCCACAGCATGTCTACAAGGTGAAATGAGCGTCTGCTGCTTCGCCCCTTGCAACAAAGCCCTCTTTCCTCACCTGGATGAGCGCGAGCTTGAACATGAACTCGGTGGTGTCGATCTGGATGGTGCGCGTCTTGCCGTCGCGGTCGAGGCAGAAGACCGAGTTGCCAAACACGCGCGTGATGTATACGGGCACGTCGAGCGTGCGGATGATCCCGCTGTCGCCGTTGGGCAGGCAGTACTTGATGTGGTTCAGCGTGGTGTAGATAAACACGCCGCTGTCGTCCCACGCGCCGCTCTTCACCCGGATCGTCTCGTGCACCGTGCACTTGTGCGCCAGCTTCTTGCTCGCGATGATGATCGCGTGCTTGCTCAGCAGCGCCACGCTGTTGTTGTCGTTGGACCACACGACGTACTTGATGAACGGCGTCGCCAGCTCCGCGATCGTGCTCTTCTGCTGCACGTCCAGCATCACCACCTTGTCGTCCGAGCGGCACAGCACGCTCCCCGTCCCCGCATAGAAGATCGCGTCCGTTGTCGCGCCGGGGGGGGTCACCTTCTTCGTCACCTCGTTGCGCAGGTTCTTAATCAGGATCTGGTTGTGCGCCTTGTCGAGCACCGCAAACCGGTTGCGCGCCACAAACACCGCCGAGCTGCCGGACCCCTTCTTGGCCTCCTGCGTGTCCCCCCGTCCGGCCGCGTCCTTGGGCACAATGTACAGCTCATACGACCCCCCGTCGTGGTCGCTGCACACGAGCACTGCGTTCTCGGCCGGGTTGTAGTGCAGCGAGCGGGGGCCCGCGCTGCCGCTCGTCCCCGCGCGCCGGATTGCGACCAGGGGGTTGTCGCGCGTCGTGCCGTACTCAAACGTGCGCAGATAGCGGTCCTTGACGTAGTACAGCGTGTTGCCGTGGCTCGCGTACGCGGGGCGCTCGCGCTCGAGCTTGAAGACAATCATGCCGCTGTCGTGGCCAGCCGCGAGCAGGTTCATCTCGGGGTGCGCGGCAAGGATCCAGAAGCGGTCGTGCTCGCGCCGGAACGTCTGGACGCCCGTGCGCTTGGACATGTCCCACACGCGGATGCTCTTGTCCTCCGAGTTGGAGACGATGATGTCCTGGCGCGCGTGGAACATGACGCACGAGACATTGTTGACGTGGCCGCGCAGGGTGTCCACCTCCCAGGCCTTGGTGTCTGCCGTCAACAGGGAAAGCAAGTGTGAAATTCGTAGGGCAACACTAAAAGGGTGGATATAACTGGTGCAGTGTTGATTCTGTGTGCCAGGGGAGCATCAGAGAGGAAGGGTCACTGTGCAGAAGACCTTTTTCTTAGTTTTAATGTCCTTCTGATGATCAAACAGGGAATCTGGCTGCCTGATTGAAGAGATGATATAACTTTGAGAAACACGCAACATGGCTCTGCCACGCAGGAATGATAGATGAATAAAATTGGCTAAATGGGAGCTCAGATCGACGAGCCTTGGCCAATCAAGCCCGTACATCTGTCAAGCGGGCTAGGGTTTCAGATGGTGTTAACTTACAGAAAGGGCCACTCAGAAGGATTCTATTCAGCGGTGCTTAGGCAAAAACCTGGGCACTTTATATGCCCCTTGACCTTGATGCTTGGACCTCGTTGGAAACTTCCTAACCTGCCATTGCGCAATGCAAGAGGATACTTTTCAGAACTGGCGCCAATTCAGCAGATCAAGCTCACCATTCATACGCCACAGCTTGACCTGTCTGTCGTCCGCGCCAGACACAATCAGGGGCAAAGTGGGATGGAACGCGGCCCAGTTGACGCCCCTGTCGTGCCCCTCCAGGACATACTTGACAATGGCATCCCCGCCACCAAAAAGGTCGGTGTTCATCTGGGGCAGGCGGAGGATATCCTCCGCAGGGGAGACCGTCTTCTTGCGGAGCGCAGAGATGTCCCAGACGCGCACTGTCTGGTCCAGCGACGCTGAGACCACGAGGTCCTCCTTGATGTGGAAGGCCGCGCACATGACATAGTGGTTGTGCCCGGTGAGGACTGAGATGCAGTTGCGGGACTGCCAGTTCCAAATGCGGATGGTCTGGTCGTCGCTGGCGCTGACGATCCAGGGGTACTCCTGGTGGAATTGCACCGTCCGGATGTAGTCCAGGTGGCCGAGCAGCGTGAAGAGGCACCGGCGCATTTTGTAGTTCCACACCTTGATCTTGTAGTCATCGCCTGCGGACAGAAGATTCTCATCATGCATTCGCCACGTGGGTTCTTGAGCTGGCGAACACGCTAACCATAAACTCACATGTGTTCCACAATGCAAGCTTGATCAGCTCAATTGCATTTGATTGTGATCTTGCTTAAATTGCTTCAAAGTTTCTACTTGTACAATCAACTTCCTGCAGATGCTCTATGCGGTATCTTCAAGCATTTGGCAGAAGTGCAAAATCCTCTTCTTATCGAGCAGAACGATCTGCTTACCTCCAGACACAAACAGAGGTTGTGACTTATGGAAGTGGACCCCTCGCACAGGTCCATCATGCTCATCAAACCGATCGATCAAGGTCCCCATCCGATAATCCCATAATTGGATCACCCCGCTGTGCAAACTTGCAAGAATCCATGGCCTTTTGGGATGAAAACTCAGACCCTTGACCCTGTTGCTTTTGGTCTCAAATTTGGTCAACATCTTTGTGGCAGCTTATTGACAACTGGAGAGATCTGTTGCTGGTGGTTCTGTCCTGCGGCCTGATTGATTGCCAGGCAGATGATTATCCTCATTCAATCGTGACTAGCCGAACAGACTCTTCAATACCTAGGCCTGCAGGAAGCAATGCAGCTTGCCCTTGGCCATAAAGAAACTCCACGCCCCCTGCTTTGCTCTTCCTCTCGTCAAAAGAGCCACAAGCAAAACAGCTCTGATTCTGAACAGAGAAGGCAGGAGAGTCGCCGTCGAGACTGCAGCTAGGGTTGCCACCTAGCTTCTGGAACAAATGGAGGGAAAATCGCGTTGAAGGACTTCGTATATGCATCGGGGATGGGTAACATAGGACACGTGAACAGCACCTCTCTTATAAGTATATGGACAGCGGGGACAGTGCTCGCAGGTGAATGTCACCCGCTTGATCCAGGACAATCCGCCCGGGACATGTCATCGGTCAATTAGTTGGTCGATAGGTTATCAGCTGGAAATCTGGGTGACCTGTTCATACGGGGGCAGTCTGGGAGCTGTATTGAAAAGCATTTCACAAATTTTTCGAGTTTTCCTGGACCTCAGCGATCAGACTCAGAGTTGGTCACTTGGTGTTGACATCAGAAGCTCAGTTCTGCCTTAGGCTTTGGACAGCTCCGCTCCAGCTCCACTTCAGCCGGAGGGCTCGCAGCTCAGCAACAGAATGCTGAGGTTGTAGGCGATGCGGATGCTGTAAAGAAGCGTCCGACGGGTATTCTTCCCCACTGAAGGCGTACTTATATGGTAGCGGTCAACGCATCTCAAAAAGTTCATTAGCGCCTTGTTTTTTGGTTCGAAACAGAACAGCACACAAACCCAGTGACAGGATTTGTCACCAAATCTGCAAGATGGAGAGCCCAGCACCAGGAAAAGATCCTGCAAACAGCAAAGCTTCAGACTCTGAAGCAGCCAATGCGCTGAAACAGATGGAAAAGATGGCTCTTTTCATGAAGCCTGAAGATATGCCGGAAGATCCTTCTCAAAATGATGACTTGGCTGCCATTCAGGCCCTCATATATGATGACCAGACGCCTGAAGAGATTGCTGAGAACTTCAAGGTAGGGCAAGCATCGAGGCCGTGATTTGTGGGGGCTCAGTTGGTAAAAGGAAGTGTTGGAACATCAAATGCAAATTTGCAATAGGACTTAGTACCACCACCCAGACATAGCGGCAGCTGCGTGCGTCTTGCTGTGCAACTGGTGGCGCCGCTTTTGACTGTTTTCTTGAGCACGATACGAAGATGAAGACTGATCGTCCATCAAATGATACAATGGGGACGACTTCCTCCTCGGCTCTACTTGCAGGATCAGGGCAACCATGCTTTGACAAAACATAAGCGGTTCATACCCGACGCTGTCAAGTTTTACACACAAGCGATCGACCAAAAGGTCGAAGACCCAGTCAGAAACTCCATCTACTATGCCAACAGAAGTCACGCAAACCTTCTCCTTGGTATGTTTGCTCCGACCACCATGGAGAGCCAACTGTTACTTTGTTATTGCTTGCCAAAGCTTTTCCGCTGAAAGTGGTAGATTTGTGCGATCCAATCTGATGCAAGTATTCCTCAAGACTTGCATCTGTCGGGTCTGATCTGCTGATTCAAAACACTTGCTTGATCATTGCTCGATCATGTTTTTTGAATCTTCACATGGCCCTCTTGGGATGGTCAGAAGATTCACTGGAGCTCGCGAGTCTCATCTTTCTCACCGTTGATTGTCCAGGATGCAGGAAACTATCGGAGGGCTTTACAAGACAGCCAAGAAGCTGTACGCCTTAATCCAGACAATATAAAGGTCAGGTGCCAGTGGTCAGATTGTCCCCTTACTTTCATGGTGCGGTAGAAGTCAGGGACAGTATCGCTCTTATGCTTCAGAGTCTTTACAGTACTGATCAGAAGGCCAACATGCAAAGGAAGCTGCTCGAGATTGTGATGCCACGCAGAAAGGAAGATGTTTACACTTAGTCAAAGGAACAGCTCTCGACCATTGTCTGAACGCTGGCATAGCTCCTTGAGATTCCTCCTGCTAAAGCGGGACGTTGATTTATGTAGGCGTACTTTCGAGCTGCAAAGGCCGCCTTCAATTTAGGGGAATACGACGAAGCGGTTCAGCAAGCTATGGCTGGCTTAGAAAGTAAGCAAAGGTCTCATGTGTGCCGTACAAAGAAAACGAGTCTGACATAGAGAAGTCGGTGAGGAAGTTGCAATTTCTGATGTGTGCAAGTTATTGTCTTCTGATGGTTTTGTCTTGCTCCGACATCTTTCTCAACGAAGAGCACGGCGTTGATGAGTTGGCTCGATGAGACATCTACTGGTTCGAAGCAGGGACTAATATGTTGGCCTCCATTCGTCAATGCAGAAGACCCAGAAAATGAGGAACTTCGGAAGTGGAAAGAAAAAGCAGAGAAAGAAGTTGCTGGTAAGTGTAACAGACTCCCTTTGCTGGGTTACTACTAGCCCAATGGCACGCTGTCTTCCCTGCTTCACATCTCATATCTTGGCTTGAAAGGAGCGACTCTCATTATCAAATCCTTGGCTTTTCTTGGTGCTTCAATGTTCCGGGCTGTCGAGTGTTTCGCAACGTAAACACGTCGTTCTCGCTTCTGCAGTCACAAGAGCGCGGCGAGATCGAGAAGCTAAGGCCTTGGCTGACTCGCAGGTGGGTCCTTCTGCGGCGCTTTCAGGCGATGGTGACCAAGCACTTCTGCTTTGGACGTATTGGTCGTAAGGAACAAATAGCAGAGGTCGAGCTAGTCGTAACTGGTTCTTTAGACTTTTGACCAAGGCTTTTGACCCTGACTTGTTGCAGCACACATTGGAAATTGTGCCTTTTTGTTCGTCACCCTGACGAAGTGACAACAAATCTGAAAGACTCCTTGACTTTCTATGGTGCACAGCGTCTAGCCAAGGCCCTAGTGGAACGCGAAGTGAAAGTGGGGCCGCCTGCGTACAAGCAACAGAGGGGCGGGAAGGTGCCTTGGATCGACGAAAGCAACCTGGTGAGCCGAAGTTCAGATCGTGACTCCTTCTTTCTGCCTTCCCTGATGGTAGCACTTTCCTTGAGGCGGCCAGTTCGTGCTTGGAGAAGCTCGGTCACAGGCGCGAGCAAGACTGCGATGCTCGAGTCTTCTTCGCTTTTCTTTCCTCAAACGGAACATCGTTGGCACTGCTCGATTCAAAAGAGCCCCACCCCTCGCGGAACTGAGTAAGGACTTCGTGGCCGGAATTGCTCAATTGCTGATCAAGCACTCTTGTATGCAGATCCACTGGCCGGTTCTCTTCGTCTACGGCGAGACGATGGTGACGGACTTCATCGAGGACTTCATGGAGACGGACAACTTCCGTTTCCATCTCGACGACATGTTTGGGGACGGAGCCCCTCCGCTTGCGTGGGACCAACGGCGGGAGTACACCCGAGATCGAGTGCAGCTCTATTACCAGGTGAGCTGCCTGATCGGCATGGCCTGAGCAGAGTCGATCAGAGAAAGTCTTGACTTCGATGCTTCTATAGGATGCAATAGTTTTCCTCAAGATCAATCCAAAGAGGTCGTTCGGCTTACCTCTCTAGCTACCCTTGTGCCTTTTTGGTCTCTAATGATCACAGTTGATTGCTGACGGCTCTTGAAGACACGTCTGTCGTCGATGCGCTTTCCGGGGTGCTTTTGACCGTCCCGCGCTGTATGCGTGCTAAAAGTAAGCGTAAACTCAATCTGCAGGAAAACGCTATGAAGCCGTTGCCCCAGACGAGGTGGCCAGAGGTGTTCCTGTCAGACCCGGGGGCAACAGCGGCTGCCGAAACAGTCGAAGACGCTGCCACATCTACTTCTTTTGTGACGCATCCGGAAGACAGGAGGTGGAGGAGAATTGAGGAGCAAGATACTCTGGGGGCAATCTTGGCACGGCCTGGCCACGTGATCCCAGGCATCCCAGGTGACAACCCGAGCTTTTCGTGCTTCGACATTCTTCCTGAGTTATCGAAGTGGGCCCATCAATGAGGACGCTGCTTGCTTCCAGATCCGCAACGTTCTTGATGGATTTCGTTGGTGTTGTGGTGGCGATCAAAGCCTCATCTGTTGTGGACAAGGAAGCAATCTCAAAGCTTGGTTCAGCCCTCATTGAATGCTTTTAATCCTCTGGTAAGAGACCTGTTCTTATCCTGTTTTTGCTGTCTAGTTCACTGAGGCTTTACTCAAAGAGGATGCTGCTCCTTCCGTTCCGAGAGCTGAAATCACGGTTGGAATACCGTGAGTGTCTGCCTTATGATTCTAAAATCCGGCTGCTTGCTTGCAGTGTTCTACGTCACGTCTGAAAACAGCTCCTTCGCCAGTCGGATGTCAAATGGTCAATGGGTGCCACCCTAGTGTACCCCTAAGCGGAATATGACAGCTCGTAAGCTTCCTTAGTGTCTACATATTACTCAGGAAGACGGTTAGCTTTGACAATCTTTACAGAAAGAGGCCTTAATCCTGATTACCTTATTTCTTTGTTCGTTAACGCTCTCAGACGAACTCTGATGGAAGTAGCCTTGACTCATTGAAAGCACTATAAGCGCATGTGAGCAAGAGCAACGGCAGGTCTTCATTGACTTGAGCAGGTTGTCGAAAGCTTTTTTTTTGCATGCGGGAGACAATCCTTGCGGCTCAAAAAAGAAAGGGCAGAACGTCCAACGGACGTCCAATCGAGCCATATCAATGATTCAACTGGGTGGCAATTGTTGGGCTGCACAGTGCCCCTGAAGAACTTGTCCTCTGTTTGATTCCAAGATGGAAGCAGTCATCTCCCCGCCCTATACTCAGATATGTTGCAACGAGTCTCTTGATCACCTTAATGACCGAAGGCCCGTATAATTGTTGCCTTGTTGAGTCTTGATGGATAGAAGGGGAAAACACCGTTACTTTTGAGGCCCTTGCAACGGCACTGGATGATCCGAGCCCACTGAATAAGCGACAATCTCAAATCTCAAATCTCAAGACATCTGTATGCATGTACGAAAGTACCACACAGATTGAGCGCATGTATATATTACATGCAGCCCATTGATTAACTCCCATCATGAAGGGGATTTCATGGCACAGCATGCAATGTAAGAGATAGACAGGATAGACGGCGCTCGAGGCATATAGGCAACAGCCTACGTCAGTTCTGTTGGAGATTATCAAGTACGTTGCAAGAAGTCCATCGCATGCCAGCCCATAAAGGCTTGAAGTTAATCGCTGTCAGTGTACTTGGTCGCTGTACTTGTCAACAACATGAAAGGTAACTATATTGAGACCGGGCAAAAGCCATCCTTCAGTGCTAGGTACCTGTTCTTCGGCACTTCTTCGGGATGGCAATAATACCAACTCGCACGCTTTCATCTCCGATTTCCGCCTAGAGCCATGGCCCGTGCATGAGGCATTCCGAGTGAAGAAGTATTTGTTGCATTTTCTACGTTGAGAACACGTACTGCAAGTTGCGCGTGATCCCCCTCGCGCTCGCCCGATTCTCAAACAGAAGCTCAGGCTGGTTCGGCCGGGTTACGTGGTGGCGACGATCCCAAAGTGCAGTGCTTTCGGGGAATAGTCCGCCTTCCTAGTTAAGAGATTGTCTCCGCGGTCGATTGGCACTTCTTCGCTCTGAGAGTCGTCGGCAAAGTCTGCGGGAGGTACTTAAATTAAGTCTCACCCGTCCAGAGTGACATAAGTCGTATCCAACGTACCGTATTGTACGACCGGCGCATGTGCTGTGACGTTGGGTGCCGGATACGGGAACCGGCCATCGTGTAACATTCGCAACCGTCGGATGCTGCTGTTTGTACGACCGGCGAAATCCAGGACACCTGGCGACGGCCCTTGATTCAATAACAGACTGGCAAAATACAGAACGACTGGCGGACCAGAGGAGGGTCCAACCGGGACCATCCAGCACTCAAGTGCCGACAAAGTCGATTATATAGGAATTTCATCTCAAAATGGTAATGCATACGTCGGAGCTTACAATTATCTTACACATCAAGACTGAATATTCTGATAGTTACGATTCCGTCACAGTATCCTACGTACTTGTGAGTATCCAGCCTGCAAACATAATACGTACATATTCTAGTATTAGTATTGAAGGCTCTAGGTA